TAATAATTACATATAATTATATCAATTTGACATTCTTGGTAAGACTTGGAGCTTCGAGTGATCGTACTTGAAGATCGGAAACTCATCTCACACTATAGTTTCCTATTTCTTTTTATTATGGCTTTGTTTATGTTTGTTTTAGTTCTTTCCTTTAACATAAGTAACTAAGTTCATAGCTAGGGCTATGAGAACTATTGTTCATAAATTTATGTGCTTTTGATGTTTGAATATAAATTTGATTCCATTTCGTAATTATATTTTATCTTATTGCGCTTCCTTCTTAATCCTAATTAACTATATTGTCAGGCGATTGTATCTTAGTTAGTTAATGGATCTATAGGATAAAACAAGACAAAGGATTAGGTATATCAAACCAATCTTTTTCTTCTAATTGTTATTAAATTAACTAATTCATAGGTGTTTTATGCTTTCTTAAATTGATGTTTTGCATGACCATTGGAGATGTTGATTTAGAGAAAAAAATATTAATATTGCATGAATATTGGGTATTAATAATATTTGTATGAATGATTGGTAATCACAAGAAAATTAAATTTAGAATTAAATAGAAAAATAACATAAAAGATTAAATGAGAAAACACATACACCTTAGGTTTCTCTCTTATAAGTTCAACTAAGACGTGTGTTGTGTTATTTACTTCTATTCAAAATTAATTTTATAATTAAATTCTGATTTTTACTTAATTTCATATCTTCTAGGCTCAAATAATTGAATTAAGAAATTCTTAGTGATTGGAAATCAATCCTTGTAAGACGATATTTTGAGAACTTATTTTAGAACCCTTTATTACTTCTCGATAGGTACACTTACCCTCCGAACAGAGAGCTATTTAAGGAGACACACACTTGTAGAGGAGACAAACTGTGAGTTCTTAAGCCACATATGTAAGTCATTCTTATTGACATTATATGTTATTAATAATTTATTAAATAGTTCTCTATACTAATATATAATTATCTAAATTTAACTGTAGAATGACTATGTTCAAAGGCTTGAGAAAACATCTTCTCAAGATCCAGAATTAGTTGATGAGGATGCTATATAGTCACAGACAATGAGTGACCTTTATAAAGGTCCTATTTATGGCATAGGGGTCGCTTTGTAGACTCTATGTCCCCTGCATTTGTCACTGGAGATACTCCTTATCTTGCACCGAGGAAGTTAGCACTCAGGTTCATGTCCTCAATGAAGAACTCTAGAAGCAGAATAAAGAGATGTAGAAGAAATTGACGAAGAAAATGAAGAAGGAGGTGACATCGAGGATGCAAAGGGAGATGTAGCAACAGATGCAGCAACAGTATATGTAGATGCAGCAGATACATGCGTACTTTGAGCTCATGAGAATAAGCAGCTCTACAACTCTTCCAACAACTCCATCACCACTAATTTTCAGCTACATGCATCATTCCTCTTTCGACTCCTCGTCTACTGATGGCGATGCTCCTTTGGATGATAATCATACCGATTATTTGTGATAAACATTTGTATTTTATTTTTAACATTATTTATTTATATGTTTATATCTTTGTTTGTAATGATATTTTAATTTTATAATTTTTAAATAATCTCTGAATTTCTAGATATAATTTTGTAGTTTTCATTATATTTATAAATTATGATAATTAGGAACAACGAGAAATATTTACTTATATAAACAAAAAGTAACAAAAACTATAAAATATATCCTAGATGGATTACATATAGATTTTTCTGTTTGTATGTTAGAGACGAATATTTTCGTTTGTAAGCTACAAATGGTCTGTAACTTATAGACAGATTCATCTATAATTATTTATCAATGAGGATATTACAAACAATTTGTTTCTGTCTGTAAATTCATCTATAATTCTAAAATTCATCTGTAATAATGTAAAAATATGTTTATAAATTCGTTCATATATACATGTTTTGTAACAAATATAGTCATACAAGTGTCTAATTATAATAAATATACAATTTTAATAAACAACACTAGATTCATATTTACAAAAATTTTATGTAACTAACTAATTCTATAATACAAAATATTATTACAATTAAAAATTTATACCAAATTGTACTTTAATTTCAACATTTCACAATATTTAAGTTACCAAGCATTATAAAACTTGTTTTTACAAATAATTATTATTACATGACAAGGTTAGTCTTTGTAAATTCTAAATATAATAATTAAATTTTATTATCTTTGTATATTAATTTAATATGAAACTTTTATAAAAATTCCTTATTATAAAAAAATATGATTATATAGTTTCTTAAGCTACTAATAATATAACTTTTCTATTAAAATAAAATGAACTTAAAATTATTATATATTTAATTCTATATTTGATACTCATTATATAAATTATACTTATTATAACAATTTTGTTTACTAAAAAACAATATAAGTGTTTATTTATCATTATTACCTAAACTAAGATTAAAAAACTTATTTTTTACAAAACAATTTTGTTACAGGTCAATTTAAATTCCTTTTATATAACTATATTAATTTTATATCAAACTTTGATAAACAATATTTTTTTAGCAACTAGTAATACTAAAATTATCATCTAAATTTTAATGATATTACTATTAAATTTAAAGTTCAAAATTTTATTGATTCAATTATTTTTAATTTTAATTATATCAACAATTAACTCAATTCATTGTTTGTAATTTTATTTAATTTTTATAAAATCTTAATTATAATAAAAAAATTTAAAATATAGTATTATTTCTAATCATATCAACTATCTTTAAATTTTATTTATGAATTTTCAAGATCTACTTATAAAATTTTGAAGTTATATCTAACAAAATGGGACAATATTATATTAAAATAATAATAAAGAATATACCATTATTTATACAAAGGCAATATTAGCGTTGATGTAACACTTTAAATTTAATTTTAAATAAATAATATTTTCGTAATTTCAGAATAATAAAGGTTTTATTAAACATTTTGAAATGGAGAAAGGATTACAAGTTTATATCAAATAACTGCTATAGGACTATTTTAAATACAATAATTTCAAATTAGCATTCTAAGCCCTATAATAGTTCCGTGCAACCCTTCACTGAGTTCGATGCTAATCGTCTTGATTACCTGAAAAATAAATGTAAGGGTGAGTATTCTACACTACCAAATATACAAACAAGCATAGAGTCTCACTTGTACTTAATTTACATTATTTCTAATACACTTCACACAATATAATCACAGACAGCATTACCACTCAATTCATTTCTAATTCAACTCTAATGCACTCACGGCACCAAACAATTTACACACACGTAAGTATCAAACAATAATCTCATGCATTCATTGCACGCTAGCCACGCTCACTGTGGCACTGTGATCACAAATTTTTACTATGGATGGTCGCCGGTTACTCCCGCCTCACGGATACCACAAGGACAGTCACGGGTCGCTCAGTAAAGATAGTGGTCAGAGGTCTAGTTAGGAAGAGAATGTGTGACTCGTGGTGCACCTGCTTTCACAGTCGGTATAACCATCACTCCCTCTTCCCCAAGATATTTTTACCGTTTTCATCTTTCACACTCCTAGTGTATCACTGAACCATTCACAGCATGTTATACAGGCGTTAATCACACCTCATTCACACACATTGCAATATTCATTCTCAGTATACGGCATAAAGCCCACAATCATGCATAATACACGGCACTCATTCGTTCTATAGTACACGGCACAAAGTCTATATTCATTCATATTACACGACCCTTGGCCCACACTTGTTCACAATTATTCATTCAAATATACGACACAAGTGCTCATACCCATTCACACTACTCGGTATATACATGCCCTCATTTTATTACACGACACTTAGTATATAATCCACATTATTCAATCATCAATCAATGATACAATCACATACATTTCAATCAAGGGTATATTAACCCAGTCACAACCAACTCACATTACATTCAAACACACAATAATTTCTATCAACACGCTCATTCTTGCTCTCAATCTCAATCACATTACAAAAGCATAGCAATTAAACCAAATTTCACACAAATGAGATAGGGTAGAGTCCCCCCTTACCTTGGATTGAAGACCCACACTCCATGAGAATCTAAGGAAACTGAGAAACAGAGAAAAGGGATGAAAAAAAAAACCTTAACCATTAAAACTTACCTCCAAGCATTCCTAACACGAATCCAACCTTCAATCAAGCTCCCAAACGGCTTTGGAGGTAATTTAATCGGTGGGATAGGGTTTTGGGTCGAGAGAATCGAAGAAATTTCGAAAGGAATGTGAGAAATAACCTTTCTCGAACCCTTACCCCCTCTAAACCCTCTCTGGTCGTGATATTCTCACTACAGTAAGGTCCTCCCTTGCTACAGCGAAAAACTCAAACAAAACTGCATTCTGATTTCTCCAGAATCTCGCTATAGTTAGACTCTCTCGCTACAGCAAGATTGCACCTAGAAATGCAACCCAAACTGTGGCTTTGTCGCTACAGAGAGAGACCTCTCGCTACAGCGACAAGATGACAGTTTCACACTTTCCTCTCAGGGCCCTCTCGCTACAGCAGGAGCACCCTGCACCAGGCACTCAGCCTATTTTCCAAATCCAGCCACATACACACGTACACATATATCTATATCTATATCTATATTCATACATATCATCGTTCAATCAGTCACCACGCATTCAAGTGCAAATTTCAATATTCATTCACATTTACACACACATATATATAATCAATATTACAAAATTCAGAGCGTTACACATGATATTTAAAAAAAATCAAAAATTAATTTTTAATTTAACCTATTTTAAGAAATAATTTTAAAAATATTATTTAAATAATAAAAGTTACTAAAAAGGCTATTATCTTCTTTTTTTCGAAAAAGTGGCCCAAGTTTATACATGGCATGCGGAAAGGGTGACCACGAGGGCTATTAACGAATTTTGCTTGGGTCCCAAGTCAGGAACGCACCTTCGAGAATCTTTCAAAGCGAACATAGGCTCTGGAACCTTCTGGACCTTTTTCTAGCACCTTCTAGCTCCTCCCAACCATTGCCCTCAAATAACGCCCTCTGTCTCCTTCTCTTCCCCAACAAGTCCACGTCGAAGCTACCTTCAATTTGCGTCTATCTCTTCGCTCCAATTCCAATGGCGTCCTCTCTCACTGTGAAGCGTTTCCTTTCCTCTTCCCTCCTCTCTAGATCTCTCCTTCGCTCCACTGCTTCTGCATCCCGCTCCTTCAACACCAACGCCATGCGCCAGTACAATGAACATGCCGATGACCGCAGCGTCGACGTTGACCGTCGCTCTGATAACTCTTTCCCTCGCACTGCACGCCGTGAGGATATCATCTCAGGTAGTTGTTATCGCTCTCTGTCACCTCGTGACAATCCAATCTCTTCATTTTTCTATTGATTAGCTAAACCTTGTTACTAAATTTCTGTTTTGTTCAAATTCGCTGTAGATGTGTTCGATCCGTTCTTTCCAACTCGGAGTCTGAGTCAGGTTCTGAACGTGATGGATCAGTTAATGGATAATCCGTTCCTCTCTGCATCGCGCGGGATCGGAGCTGGAGTTGGAGCTCGTCGTGGATGGGATGCGAGAGAGACAGAAGATGGTCTGCTTCTACGCGTGGACATGCCTGGGCTCGGCAAGGAAGATGTGAAGATATCTGTGGAGCAGAACACACTCACCATCAAAGGTGAAGGTACCAAAGAAGGTGATGAAGAGGAAGGCGCTCGTCGCTACTCTAGCAGAATTGACTTGCCGGAGAAGCTTTACAAGATTGACCAAATCAAAGCTGAGATGAAGAACGGTGTGCTCAAAGTCGTTGTGCCGAAAATGAAGGAGGAGGAGAGAAACGATGTGATCAGTATCAAGGTTGATTAGAATGTGGCTCTTTGGTTAATCTGCATAAAACTCTTTGTACTGTTTCTTTTTCTGAGGTAATGGATCAAGGTACTGGATAAGAGAGCTTAAGGTTTAGTGTTGAAACTTCAGGTTTTCTATGTTTAGTTTTGAAACCTCTACGTTTCTTTGTAATAAATCAATGTAGAGTTATGAATTAACTTGTTGCTTGGAATTCTGCAATCGGAGTCTGAATTTTCCTGTTCATTTAGAATGCTTGAGTACCTAATCGAATATCCAACTAGTCGTTAGTTTTGGGGGAGAATTTTCCTTGTTATTTTAGAAAATTTACACAACTGATTATTTTCTTTATGAAGCATTCAGAGGACAGAATGGTTTTGGACTTTTGGATCCCCTCTGAAGTTCAATAAATGTGCTAGGATAATACAAACAGCTGCTCAATTTGACACTTAACAAGCCACCGATAAGGTGCGAAAGATATATTTGGTTCTATTACCTCGTGGGGAAAAACTAGTGAGGAGGAAAAGAGAGACGGTTTATGCTAATTTAACTTGACCGTTTCCTATTAATCGCTTACTTGACTATTTTAAAAATGGATGGACTCTGCTACGTGCACGTCTGAGGGTCTTTTTTTCTTTGGGGTCGGGTGCATGTCTAACATTATACTAGTCCCCGTGTCATATAATGAGCTTCGACGAAGAGGAACTGTTTGGAGCTGTGAAGGGTGGAAAAACTGATAAAATGGTTAAAAGTGTCTACCAGTTACTATTAGTAGTTTAAATCTATTATTTTAATAAATTTATGATTTGCGTATAAATTTTTGCTGCCTTACTTTCATTTTTCGAAAAATCTTTAGTGGGTTAGCTACCGACACTCGAGTGAATAGAGCCGCACAAAGCCCCTTTTTTATGGCCCAGGCCTGTCTATGCTACTTGTGCCACCCATATATATTGTCCATACCAATCTATCTATACATTACAAAATATTGACCCAATAAAAAAAATTACATTACAAAATAATTATTTATCATAATATTTTTTTTTCTTATTGAGTGTTTAAATTTGTTTACTAACACATTTAGCAGCTTCAAAGTATTATTGAAGAACAAGTTAATTAATTCTTCCATCGTGAATAGATGGCGATTATATTAACATATTTTATAGTTATTATTTTAAATTATTTATTATGTTATTAGTTTTAAACAAATTTATTCAGGAGACTTAAGTTTTAAATTTATGTTTGATCGTATGAATATTTATTATGACATAAATTTTATTTAATAACATGAGTTGATGTGTAAAATGAGTAATTAATTTGGTTTAGTTTCATGACATTTAGTCATTCATGAAACGTATGTGTTAAAGCTTTTGATATTAAATATTCATTTGTATTTGAGAATAATGTTGAGTGAAAATCTTATTTTGAGAGGTGAATTTTGTAGTTGCTAGTGAAAGTACCAATCTTAGGTGAATCTATAATTAGATTCCAAAAAGTAAACTTAGTTAGAAAGTTATCAATAATATACGTGATCCCTATAAAATATTATAAAATTGTCATTTATAATATTTTAATAAAGTGTCATTTCAGTTTTATTTATGTATTTTTGTAAATGCTAAATTATGGATTTAAGAAATAATTACTTTGTTGCTAAGTTTCTTAACTTTTAAATTATTGAAAATTGTATTAGGTATTATGTTGGAACATGGTCCTGTACCGTGATTACAATTTATTTGTATCTAAATTGTTTTTCATTTTTTATTTATTATAGTTATTATGTCAGTTATTGAGTTCATGTGACTTTTTTTTTAATTTATTATTTTTATATCATCTTATAATAGAGTAGTAAGTTATTGATGACTTCAGCTCATCTCAATAAAGTTTCAATTTGTAAGTTTTTGTTATTATGATCATTTTTTTGTTAATTTTTAATTTTTTTTTGCAATTGTTAGAGAATTATTATTTTTGTTATATAATAGATGTTTTAGTATTTTTATATAACGAGAGTTGAATCTTATTAGTCGTTGAATTATATATTAATTTTGATAAATTGTTATACTTTTGAAAGGTTGAAGTTATAAACAAAACGTAGTTAAAATTTTTGTAAAATTGTCACTGTTTATTTGAAAAAAATATTATTTTAATGTTGTTTTTAAATAAGCTTGCTAGATTAGGTGATATTTTTTTGTAACTTAGGTTGTATATGGATAATAAATTAAACTTTGGGTCATAACAGAACATTGAAAGAAAAACACTAAATAAAATCTTATTATCAAGTTATTTACTTGACATTGTATAAAATTGTATTTATACTTTTTATTTATTCAGAATGATCAAATTGTATATTGTTTAATTTGTACTTTTCTAGTCATTTTAGATTTTATCTTATTTAAATTGCTTATTTTCATCATTTATTTTGATTTATCATTCATGTGATTGAAAAGGTGATCTATTAATCTAATTTTAAAGATGTTTTATTTTCTTATATCTATGCCTTTATTGCAAAGTTCGTATAAAGGACTTAAAAATGCTTAGTCTTTGGGCTTTTAAGAAAGTAATTTTGTAGCTAGATTTACTTATAGTGATTAAGAATTTGACAAATTATTATTATAGAGGCAACCTTTTAATTAAGAGCATTAAAGGCCTTTTCGAGCGAAATTAGAAAGTAGATATGTATATATAAAATAAAAAAAAATGGGTAGATTGTTTAGCCCAATTTAATTTGAAGCTATCTTCTAAATTATTAAAATATAAAATTTCCCCTAGATGTGTATGTGAGGCTATAATTAGTTATGTTAAAGAGGTCCTACTCCCAAGTTATAGTTTTGTAATTCCGTTTCTTGGACTTGGGCTTAGGCCAGAGATGAACAATAGAAGCTAATAACTTTGAGAATGTGTTTGCATAAAATATTTCAAAATTTCCATCATTTATTTATTTAGATAGTAAAAAAAGTAGTTTTAAAATGCTATAGAATTTGAAGTAAAATTTGTTATGTTAAATAGAAAAATTTTAAATGAAAAATTCAAAATAAAAATTTAAAATCTCTTTATTATATTTAATCTTTTATATTTATCATTCATAACTTCTCTCGTACTATCACTGTAAACATTTCTTATTTTTATTTTCATATTTTTAAAAAAATTTCATTCAAATATAATATAAAAAATATATTTTAAATAACTAACTAATACTAATTTACAAATAAATAATGCGATAGAGACTTGTTTTTTTTATATATTTTTATTTTGTCTCGTATGTTTAACCAAAAACGTCATTCAAGATCACCAATTAATAAATTATTAATAATACGTGTGATCCAGGAAGGTGCCATTTGTACGAAGTGTCCAAGGATGTTTTGTTTTTTCTTATTTTATTTTTCCCCGATATTCACAATTTACACGAAAACACCATTAAAACAAATTACTTAGCTACATAATTGGCGGAAACAAAACGAAGCTAAAAACAAAGAGCGTGACACGTGGATCCAATGCAGTGTCCACCCTCCACTAATTTTGCCACGTCATATGGAAGGCTCCACGCAGGACATGTGGGACCCCATTTTTCATGAGGCGGATATCCGCTTCACGTTAGGAATAATGCCAATCGGATATTCGAATATGCTCTTTTTTTCTCTTTCATTATTTGAAGTTGAATTGGGCGGCTACGTGATGACGATTTTGCCCCTGATATTTAGGTACATTTACATTGCAATGTCCTGTTGAATTTTTATCGCTTTGACAAATATGTCCTTCGCGCATTGGACCCATGGTGGGTGGGAAACTTTACCTCTTTTTATTTTTAATTTTTTTTCGTCCTTTTCTATGAATCAGGCAACTTGCAAGTCAAAATGGGTTTCTCCTCTTTTTCTTTAATTTCTTTTTTTTTTCAATTAAATTTTCGTACCCTCTAGTACCGTGTTGACAATTTATTGATTTTTTATTTATCAAATTCACTTTTTTCTTGTATATTTAAAAATATTAATTTGAGCTCTATAATTTGCTGTCATTCTTATTTCTTATATAAATGCATAGTACATAGATGGTTATAGGAAAATTTCATATAATAAAATATTATTCTTAATATACTAAGAAAAATCTAGTAGCAGCGTTTTAAAAAAACTTTTATTGTATTTTTGAATATAAGAAATGTTATGTGTTATTACTCGTTGACGATTGTTATGACCAATTGACATAGTGTTCATTAATGTTAATGTATCAAACAATCTAACAAATCATTAAAGGAAATTTCAAGTTTTGTTTGTTTGTTTGGTTTTTAAGAGGGGATTTGAAAACTCAAGTACAATAAAAAATGATTTTTAATAATATTATAGAAAAGGCTTTTGATAAAATTATTTGGTTTTTAACAAATTAAAATCTATTGAGTTTGAGTCATTGTTAAGTTAACTGCAGTCGTTATTAACTAATTATTGAGTATTTATTCAACAAATACTGAAGCTAAACACACGAGTCAGAATCATTATTAACTAATTCTTGAATGAGATGAATTGCTTAGATAAGGCTTTGAAGACTGAAGTTGTATATTTTTTAAAAATTGATAAAAAAATTATTGAAATAAAATAATTTAATCAAGACATTTGATTATCATTAATATAATATAAAGTTTAAATCGAAACAATATTGAAAGATATTTTCATAACTATTCACTACTATTAAAAAATTTATTAATTTTAAAAATAATTAAAATGCAACTTATATCTATCTGAGGAGGGAAGTCTATTTAAAATAAAAGAAAATAAGGGTAAATGAAGCATCTTTTAAGAAAAAGAAAAGTGCACAGTCATGCATAATAAATTATTAAAAATAAAATATTAAATTTTGAAATATCTTATTATAAGCAATTCAAAACGGATAATTTTATTTATAAAAAAAATCCATTAATATCTTGTGACATGATTTGTATTTCAATTATTAATTCATCACCATTCAGATCTTGGTATTTTTATTATTTTCGTTACATTCTATATTATTTTCTATCACAGCGTGATAGGAAAGAGGACATTTTGGTCAATTTTGGGGAACCGATGGCATTGTGGTAATTAAAGGAAGCGTGTAATTTGGGGGCAAACCGTGTCAATTAAGGAGCAAAAGGGACATTTCACGCGTAATAAAAAACGCATTAACGTCAAGCATAAGTAATCACACGTTCCCCCTCTGCGTCTGAAAAGCGCTTCCTTCGTTAAGCAACTGTCACCTTGCGGAAGCACAGATACGCAAGCTCTTTCTTCAACGCTGCTCAACCACTTCAGACACGAGTTTGCAACAAAACAAGCTCAGCATAAGGTATGATTTCCCCTTTCTTTTCTTCTTCTTTTATTTGTGAAGCCGAATTTGCTTCATTGGACTTTCAAGTTTATGTTGTCTGTATGTTGGATCCTTAATTTTTCCGAACAACGTTTGATTTTGTTTTTCGTGTGTTTTGGTGTTGGGAAATTCGTTGCTTCTGCCTGGGACTAACCGTTGAGGGGGTAATTGGGTCAATGGGCGTGTTGCTTGTGAACTTTTTGTTTCGTTTGCTAGCTTAATTTTTTATGAAGGAAATCTATGGTGCTGATTCGCTTTTGATTTTGTAGGTTGTTTCATACAGCACCGCCACTGTTCTAAATTGATGTCCTTTTTTAGTGGGATTTTTCTAAATAAATAATTCTCGAGTCAAATGGAACTCTAATTTTCTGACCTTACGTCTTGCTTTTGGTTTATTTAATAAACACGCTGGATTTGACGATTATGCTTTGTGTTTAGAAATTGTTTTTGAGATCCTGGGTGATTGAACACTTTCTATTCTGCATATATTAGAAAGGGATTTTTGTATGAATTATAGTATGTTGTTTAGTTAAAGATGAATTTAATGCTTGATATCAACATCTAGGACCTGGAATGACTATTAATTACTATTTCATGGTGCAATTGGATTGTGATGAATCAACTGAATCTAATGTTTCTTGCATATTTATTCATCTTTTCATTTTTTGCAGTTGTGTTCATACATGGGTTCACCAGAATTGTTGGCAGAGAAAAGTTCCAGCAAGCTTATTGGGATTCGGATCCTACAGTATTTAGAAGGAAGCCCCGTCTCCTTCAAAACCCACCAAGCCATCGTTTTGATTGTGACATTTTTTGCTTATGCTAGTTATCATGCCACACGAAAAACCACAAGTATTGTGAAGAGTGTGCTTGATCCACAATCACCAGACATAGGCCTGAGCTTTCCATTGAGGCTAACCAATTTCAATGAGTCAACTGGATCAAAGAGACCTTCTTCAAAACTTGGAGATGGTTGGGCTCCATTTAATGGATCAGATGGGACATCCCTTCTTGGTGAATTAGACGTTGCTTTTCTTTCAGTCTATGCTTTTGGTATGTACTTTTCTGGACATTTTGGTGATCGGTGCAATTTGAGGATTTTTCTGACAGTGGGGATGCTAGGAACTGGATTGTTCACTTCACTCTTTGGTGTAGGGTACTGGGGAAACATCCACAACTTCTACTATTATTTAGTAGTTCAAATGATTGCTGGATTGTTTCAATCCACTGGATGGCCATCTGTAGTTGCTGTTGTGGGGAACTGGTTTGGGAAGAGCAAGAGAGGGTTGATCATGGGAATTTGGAATGCTCACACTTCTATTGGGAACATAGCAGGTTCTCTGATTGCTTCTGCTATGTTGGGCTATGGATGGGGTTGGTCGTTTGTGGTGCCAGGTCTAATGATTGCTTTCGTTGGTTTGGTGGTTTTCCTTATATTGCCGGTCTCCCCTGAGTCTGTTGGAGCTGATAGAGAGGAGGATGAATACAGTTGTCCAAAGAAAGGTGGAGAAGTTTCAGAGCCACTGTTAAGGCAAGAATCTCCAATTGAGGAGAAAGCAGTTGGGTTCATAGAGGCATGGAAAATTCCTGGGGTTGCTCCTTTTGCTCTTTGTCTGTTTTTCGCCAAATTGGTTGCATATACGTTTCTCTATTGGCTCCCTTTCTATGTTAGCCACACAGGTTCGTATACTTTTCTATCTACTTATGTTAAATGTATCTGTATTTTTAATCTGCGTGACCTTTACCTTTTACAATTGAAGCAAACAATCATACTCTTTTTATAAACTGACTCCATATTTCAAATATGTAGTGCGTTTTACCTTGTTAAAATATCTAATTTCTCATCGATGTTCATTTAATGCAGCAATTGATGGGAAATATATATCTAGTGAGACAGCAGGATCTCTATCCACTTTATTTGATTTTGGAGGGGTGCTGGGTGGAATTCTTGCTGGCCACATTTCTGATCACTTAAATGCTAGAGCCATAACAGCAGCAAGTTTCATGTACTGTGCGATCCCTGCTCTCTTCTTTTATCGAAGTTACGGGCACATTTCCTTGATTTTAAATGGGGCATTGATGTTCATCACTGGCATGTTCGTGAACGGTCCTTATGCTCTCATAACCACTGCAGTTTCGGCTGACCTGGGAACACATAAGTCATTGAAGGGTAATTCACGAGCCCTGGCAACCGTCACGGCAATCATTGATGGAACCGGTTCTATAGGGGCTGCAGTTGGGCCTTTATTGACAGGTTACATATCTGCGAAGAGCTGGAGTGCTGTTTTCACAATGTTGATGGCAGCAGCTTTAGTCGCAGGGTTGCTTTTGACCAGGCTTGTAGTGTCAGAGGTGGCCGCAAAGATTGAGGAGTCGAGGTCTAATAGAGCACAAGAATGTCAACTCGAAGTATAAGAATAGTTTAGGGGTCACAGCAGTATTGTGTTGCTGTATGTGTAGTCTAGGAGAGCCTGTGAAGTCTCTCATTCACGGCTTCAGGTCATGAAAAAAAGAGGAACATGCCCAACAGTGTTTAATTGTAGAGGACATCTTTAACCTCTTAACCTTCATCACAATATTGAAGGGCAGGTTCAGATGTTCTCTATTTGTACATTGTGTGATATACCCAATTACCCATTCTAGTATAGATTATCATCCTTAAACACCAGCTATTCAAGAACTGATTGTAGCTTTTGAATTTTGGAAATCAACCAGTTTGGAGGTCAAGCATGAAAGTTGTCTAGTGAGTTACAAATTGATTTTTGTCGCATTTTTCTTACTGGCTTAATGGGTTCACCACACTGCAAATACAAAACCCTCTCTTGTACTCCTATCTTTGAGTTTGAGGAGAGAATTACATGACATTTGTTTCTATATCAGAAACTGACCAATACTGTTAACCCATTAAGTACTTAGATATACATGTTTTTCCTATTGCCGAAATTTTGGCTTGGGATCTTATGTTGTTCAGTCATAAGTTGCAGTTGTATCGGGGCAATTAAGCAATGAACACAACCCAGAAATTTTCAGTGACGTGGCTTCAAAAGTTTGCATTACAATTCTATTATTTATTGAAGATTTCTTTCTCTCGGAGCTTGTTGCATGGAAATAATGGTTCAGGCACAAGGGTTGGAGAAGCAAAATTATCTTTTTCAGCATCTGTCTAGAAGCATTGTTTCTTAAACAGCTTGTAGTTTTCCCTTCTATCTACCCCTCAAGTAGCTAGTTGCATCCAAATAGTCTGGTGTGAAACAACTGTGCACTTGACTTTTGACCAAGTACGACATTTTTGTAGAAAGCTTTACTAAAAGCACAAATCTTGTAATAGCAAAGGGTACAATTGGTATGTCAAGTTGATAGGATTGTACTTGAGATTGTTTTGAAAATTTCCATGCTATAAATTCATAAATAAATTTTATGGTGAAAAAAAAAGGTGGTGTCATTTTATTTAAGCACTATTCATGTCTGCAATGTATCGTTGTTTTTAAGATGTGGGGACAAAGGAAAAATTGGTCCACAATTCAGTACACTTGGAAAACAAGCGTGAAAAAGGACAGGAACCTTGCTTTGCCCCCAAATTAGTGATGTCCTAAAGGGGTACACCAAGAGGGGTTTATCAAATGTTTGATGAATCATTTTTTCATCGCTGCAACTTTCTTTTGTTTGCTATATACAACTTTAATAAGGTATAGCATACGATGAGAATGTAATTTGTCTTCATCTATCTCGGGACAGAAGATTCTACCTCACCACTTGCTATTCAGATGGTCCCACACTCAAATCTAATCACCATTTTCCTTGATAATTCATTGCTGTGTTTGTTTGCTTGTTCTTTTCAATATTCCTTATTTACCTAACAGCTCAATCTAGGATCAAGTTAGAGTCTCTTGAAAATCATGACCCTTTAAATTGTTAAATCAAGTTTTTGACGTACTCTTTTTATGTTAGTTGTTATAAAGTAGTTTCATCATACTTCTGTCACACCACTAATATACTCTAAGAATAAAATGTACTTGATTATATTCAGATAGTGTTCTGTTGTGGACTAAAAAGTTTAGTAAACATGGTTAAACTGCGATATACTATAACTAAATTAAACATTATTCCTTACATTGCACGTTATAAAAACTTAATTAATAGTAAATTTTCGTTAAAATTTATAATTTTAAATAAAAACTAAATATGTTTAATTTTTTACCATGTGTAATGTTGTACAAATTCTAAAAAAATAAACCAGTATTTATTGTTGGGAGCTTAGTATGTAATTAACTTTTACTATGTCTTTCATTTTAGTGCAAAAAACAGAAAAATTCTGAAAAAAATTCAATGCATTAGTGACACCCCAAAAATTAATTTTATTTATACTTGTTGTGAAAATTATTGAAGAAAGGATGAAGAAGAATAGCAAATGAGGATGAGGGTGAGAGAGACAGTTGTGGATGATGTTATCCATGGAAAAGTTGCTTTTGAACTTGGAAGGCATAAATAATCCGAACGAAAGTGGTGTGTCTTCCACATTGATTGAAAAACTCATGGCTACCAATAATGCAAGGAAGGAATTGATGGTAGTGACAACAATGTTTCGTGACTCCGATATCAAACATTTAATAGACGAAGTGATCATTCTTATTCACAGTCATAGGGAAATCTTCATTATTGTATTGTCATTTGAGTATTTTATCAATTAGTAGTTTCAATTACTTATTTTACAGCTGAATAGTGGGGTGACTCAGAGTCACTAAATTGATGTCTGTGACTCAAAATAACATTTATTAATTTGTCCCAACAATTTCAACCGTGAATTAGATACGTATCAATTTGTTATTCGTTGAATGAGTCAAATATAATAACCTGATAAAATTATTAGCCACTAAGTTTAAAGTTTGGGTTTACCAATAAGAGAGTTCAGCGTGATTTGCAACGTGACTCACGACTTGTTTATTTATCTTGCTAACCACTAAAGTAAAGCTAAATGATATGATTAGTTAATATTTTAATCAAATGATGCCATTAGTTTATTTTAAACGAGGGCACTAGTAGTTTATTTAAACGTTGGATTGTACACAGTTTCATTTTCAAACCTGCACAGAACTCTTGAGAAGCAAACGATCCCACAGAATTACATGACATGTATATCCTTGTTTCGATATTAAATTACTTTGATGAAACATATGTTGCCAAATTTTGAAAAACAGATATATTATTATTTGATAAGAAAAATTAATGTTAAGGATAAGGAATATAATCTATGTTTTGTCTTATTTTCCAATAGTAAGTTTTGCAATACATGAGTATGATTATTTTGTATTCGATGTCAATGTAAAATAAACAACTGAAAATGAACGAAGTATTTAAACTAAAATTTGAAAAACACTTTTATCTAAAGGTGTTTAAGTATCATTTTTTATAATAAATAAATGGGACAAGTTGCCAGCAGTTCCTTAAGAGAATCATATAACATTTATAAAAATAAATAAAATATTCAGACATTAAATTTATACTAGTTTATCATTTTATCTTTAAAGTTATTAAAATTTTAAATATTTATTAAAAATTAGAAAATTATCCTTTTAAAAAAAAAAAAACTCTAACTCCCAAAAACAGTATATTTGAGAAGCCCACTGATTTGTATGACTCCTAGACTGGTCACATTCAAAATTTGAAGAAGATGAACCTGTTTTTGGTCTACAAGAAGATGAACAAAAAAGTCCATCCCATTGCATCCTAAGAAAGAGGCCCAGTCAAATGGAAATAATCGCCCATATGTAATCATAGGTTTAAAGGACCAAAAAATAGAAGACTAAATCTTCGGGCCCTATCTTTGTTTTACAATCGGGCCTTTGTTTTTTGCCTTCAATACCATGCATCTTTCAACCGAAAAAAAAAAACAACGATGGAGAAGAAATATTTCTTACATATTATTAAATTATTAATGAATTTTATCTCTATATATAGCACAAGGTTAGTAAAATAAATATTAATTGTTAAATCGTATCTTTATGATTATGATTAAATAAATCTTACACTGAAGACGTATTTACATTGTACATAAACAAAATTTTCTTTTGCCAAAGGTATCCACTCTCGACGTTGCACATAGGATATGTGATTAGTTTCAGTAATAGAAAAAATCTATAAGCAGGCACATAGAACTATTAAAGAAACAAATAAGTTATGGATAAAAATATAAAAAGAATGCTAAATCCAAAGCGAACGTGGAATCAAGAGAACAGAGAACATAATGCATCTTACACCACACAAGCTTGGTCCCCATATCTGTTCCAGCCAATAACGTTTCTTCTTTCCATATCTTTATCTAATCATTTTTCTCATATTTATTTATTTTCTATTTTCTATTTTCTATTACCATTCTTTCTCCCAGCCAAATTAACTTCCTCTCCATCTGAATAATAAAAATATCGTAATAAATAAAAGGAAGGAAAAAGAAAGAAAAATCTAATAGTAGTAGTGAAGTTATTTCTTTCCACATCAACAGTTTTGCAAGTGAAGTCTCTCCAGTGTGCAGCTGCAGCTGATTCAGTGATTCTAAATTGCTAAGCTACACGTTTTGGAGCAATCATCATTGTTCAAATTGCAATTTATTCCGGTAATCCATTCACAGATGTACCATGGGCTATTTTCTATGTTTGCAACTTTTGTATGTCCACTAAATTTTGGAACTCAGGCTAAAACCCATTATGTGTCTGCGTTGGTTTTCATTTGGGTACTTCCAGTTCTATGTGCAGGCTTGTATTGTTTTCATGAAGCATGTTATTATTATTATTATTATTATTTGGGGGCGGGGGTTTAAATAAATTATTAATTCTCCTTATAAATAACTTGAATAATTCATTTTTTTTATTTTAACAATAATAACTATTATTATTTTTGGTTATTCTTTGGTTTATCAGAAGGTTAGCAACAACTTGGGAAGTTTCTGAAACCAAAACGAGTTAAGGATCATTGGTATAATAGGACAACTTGATGGTAATCATACAGAGTGGCTAGGAAAGCATATAATGGCTACTGCTGCTGTTATTGGACTCAGTGGAGGAAAGAGGCTCTTGAGTTCATCTTACCATTACTCTGATATAATAGAAAAGCCTTCTTATGGCAGTGACTTTGGATTCACACACTATCATCTTGCTCCTACAAAATATGTAATAGTTGCCAAGAAGTCATCCAACTATCCTCCAACTTTTCCAACGTCCAACCGGCAGAATCAGTCCATCAAGGCTCTTAAGGAACATGTTAATGGTGTTCCTGCTATTGCGGATGCATGGTTTCAGAGTTACAATTCTAATGAGTTAGAGGTGGAAAGCTCTGAACTGGATTATTCAGTGGAGGCTCTTCTTTTGCTGCAGAAGTCAATGCTGGAAAAGCAATGGAATCTTTCCTTTGAAAGGGAAGTGTTAACTGAGCATTCACGAAAAGAAAAAAGCCGTAGGAAAGTGGCTGTAACTTGTTCTGGGGTGTCTGCAAGGCAAAGAAGAATGAATTCTAAGAGGAAGACTGTGGTTAAGACTGGCTCTACAATGATGCAACCTTGTGGTGCTATTCAGCTGAGGTCCATAATCAGTCCAGAGCTGCTTCAAAACCGTTTGAAGGGCTATGTGAAAGGTGTAGTGAGTGAAGAATTACTTTCTCATGCAGAAGTTGTAAACCTATCAGAGAAAATTAAAGTTGGGCTTTCCTTAGAGGAGCATAAATCCAGGTAATTGCATATATGGATGATACTATGATTCATTGAAATTATGAACAATCTGTTCTTTTATAGTTTTCCTGCTAGCTTCCATTATTGTGTAATTTTAAAAGTTACTCATTTCATACTTCAAGCAATGTGGCAAGTTAAAGAATCTCTGCATCAGTTATGTTACTGAAGTTTGAACCTTAATCATCAATCTTATATTTTAACCCTACAAGCTGAATGGGGAATGAGAGTAATCTATAATGACATATGTAACGATGGATTGTATCCTTCCTGGCAAGAAGATCTGCTTTTGTTCATCGCAACTTGTTCTGTAATGCTATCATTCTAACAATTTCAAACTTTTATTACAACTTTACTGTTTAAAACTTCTATGACGATGTCAGAGCCTTAGTTTTATTGATTAGTTTGTATATAGTATAGTGCATATGACATTTTTACCGGAGGAAAGCAGTCAAATAATTCAAATTTCTTTCACCATATTCATCTAATGAAATTCAAAATATTTTCTTTCACCATATGTTATTATGGGGAGGGAGTGTTAGGCACGAGGGAGAAGGAGAGCTAGTTGGGAAAGAATATGCAAAATTTGCTTAAGCACTCTAGAATTCACAAACGAATCCATTTTTGCTTTAAGCAAAAATGGGATTGAACAGTCCACAGGATTTATAAATTTGTTGATATAAAATTTTGTTTTATTGATCCGTATCCATTTGTTATCTATCAACAACGTATTTTGGGTGGCATAGGCAGAAGCATTGATGTTATTCGTTAAAGATAATATAAGAGAATTGCATTAAGGTGGAAAAAAGGTTATATAAATCATTAAGCATATATTCACTTCTTATAAAGTCATAACAGAATAGTTATCTTTTATAATGAAAACATCACATTCTTCTTGAAACTTTAATTTTTAATTTCATATCATTTGAGGAAATTCTACCAAATAATTTTTGTACTACTTGACTTCCTTTGGTTATGGTTTTACCTTAAAGAGAGTGATAATTGTCATACACTTTATGTAAACCTTTTATGTGATTTTCAGAATGAAGGAAAAACTAGGATGTGAACCCTCTGATGATCAAATTGCTACTTCATTGAAGATTTCTCGTGCTGAACTACGAGCAAAAATGATAGAGAGTTCTCTGGCCAGAGAAAAGTTAGCTATGAGCAATGTTCGCTTAGTTATGTCTATTGCTCAAAGATATGACAACCTAGGTGCAGAAATGGCTGACCTTGTTCAGGTGATTATATATATATATATATATATATATATGTATGTATGTATCTTTGTTTTAACTTTATATCCAGTTGGCTCTGTTTGATTCCTCAGTTGCAAAATACTCATCTTATTTTCTCTGTAGGGTGGCTTGATTGGACTACTTCGCGGTATTGAAAAGTTTGATTCTTCAAAAGGGTTTAGGATTTCAACTTATGTTTATTGGTGGATACGTCAGGTGAGGTTTTGCATGTTTATGACATTTTCTATACTTGCTTTTAGAATGATTGATTATCTATCCTTACCATTATTGTTCTTTAAACAGAAAAGGCCATAAGATTCAACCAATTTTTTCTTTCAAAATCAATGACAAAAAGGACAGGCAGCATAAGGGAAAACATTTATATGAAATCTCTTAAAACAACTTCGGTTAAATGCTTACGTTTTTCTCATAATTTCTGTGAACCTGGGCATCATGTAACCTGCATTACATTTTGGGCAGTTCTTCTTGCACTCTCAATTTCTGCATTTGGGTGTGATTAATCAGTAGCTTCCTTTCACTTCATAACTTCTGCCATTAAAGTAACAATTTTAGGTGTAGGAAATACATCTTCTGCATCATCTTGCTTCCTTTCCAATTTCATTGGTTTTTGAATCCTATATAATTGTGCTATTTTCATCTCAAATTTGTCCAACCACCATGAATACTGTTTTTGGGCTGACAGGGTGTTTCAAGAGCTTTGGTTGAGAATTCAAGAACATTAAGATTGCCTGCTCATTTACATGAGAGATTATCTTTAATCCGCAATGCAAAGTTTAGACTAGAAGAGAGAGGCATTACTCCAACTATTGATGTAAGTCTGCAACAAGTATAAAAAGAAAACAACTGCAGTCTGCATAAAATATTTTTAAAATTCTAAATATCAATAGACCTGACTGAACTGTCCCCTTGTTTTGCAGAGGATTGCGAACCACCTTAACATTTCTCAAAAGAAAGTCAGAAATGCTACTGAGGTAACAAAATCACTAAAATTTACATGATCCTCATATTTGTTAAGTCTCTATTATGCATTTTTTCACCATGTATGTACTTAATGCAGGCAGTCAGCAAAGTTTTCTCGCTCGATAGGGAAGCATTCCCCTCTCTGAATGGTCTCCAAGGAGAAACTCATCATAGTGTAAGTGTTAATGCATTCTACAAGTTCACCGAGGAAGATCATGATAACTGCTTTCTTCTTCTTTGCCTTTTGTTTTCTATTTTCTCAAAAATATCAATTGTCTCATTTGTGTTTTTTGCTTTCCAAACCCAGTATATTGCAGATAATCGCCTTGAGAACATCCCATGGAATGGAGTAGATGAGTGGGCATTAAAGGTAATTAGCAAAATATGAACCTGATTTAATTGCAAAGCATAGTCATTTCATTGTTGACATGCAGAGGATTGTTTCAATGCCTGTTATCCTTTAATGCTCTATATGTTGATTCTTTTTTAAGTATATATATAATGATTTAAAGTCATTAGACAATTACATATCTTGTTAATTTTCACAGTTGACAACATTAGGATGATATTTATGTATTAGAAATATGTTATTCTAGAGACTAAAAGTTGTATTAACCAAACTGAAATCAACCATTTTTTGGGCAGATATGCCTGTATAATAATAGCTCTGGTGTTTTTCATGTTGTTTCATAAAAATTATATTGCAGTATTCATGTCAAAACTAGCATAACGATTAATACCACTTGTAAATATTCACAGGATGAAGTGAACAAACTCATTAATGTGACCCTTGCGGAACGAGAGAGAGAAATTATTCGTCTTTATTATGGGCTGGATAAAGAATGTCTTACGTGGGAAGACATTAGTAAACGGTGAGTGAAACCATGATTTCCTTTTGGTACTTATTTTCTTAAATGCCCTTGTGAACTAGAAAAAGCTTGCAATTATACATCATCTTTTTGTAACCCCCTTGTGCTCAAAATTCAAATTCTTGTTGTGTTCTTTGTTCAGGATAGGTTTGTCAAGAGAGAGAGTGAGGCAAGTTGGACTTGTTGCGTTGGAGAAACTAAAACATGCTGCCAGGAAGAGAGAAATGGAGGCCATGCTATTGAAACATTAAATATGGACTCATCGTACAGAAGAGACATGTTATAATGTATATATACAGAAAGGAAGTGTGTACCTAGAAATTTGACTTCCTTATTCAAAAAGAGGACAAACATTGAAACATTTGTAAACCCCATAAAATATTGTACGTTGGAATAATCCTATTTTATCAATATGTTGAAAGATTTTGTTCAGCTTTTAAAAAAAAGTGAATGTTAGGATATATAAAAAGGTAATTCTTTTATAGATTTTATAAAATTTAAAAGCTTCTATTTGTATGGTTACAATTATATATTTTTTTTATTTTATTTTAGTCGATAGCTATAATTTTAGTTTTTTTTAGAAGCTATTCAAAATAGCTTTTTTCATATAAAAAGCTAAAATAAGAATTTTTAATTTCTGATTTTTAATAAAATCAACCAAATAATCTAAAAATTTAAAAAGTAATTATTATTTTTTTGAAAAAAAATCTTAAACAAATCTATTCTAATTCTAAATCTATTGATATTTTTGTGTTTTAACGTTTTTACTTTTGTTTATCTTTGTAAACACGCCTTTATTCATTATTGAGAGCACACGAATCAACTTGAATGAGTTATATTTCAATTTAGCTTGTGATCTTGAGTTTGAAATTCAATAAATATAATTATATTAAATATTTAGATGATAAGTTTTACCGTAATTCTAATTTTATTTAAACAAGATTATTTCTAAGAAAAATTACTTGTTATCTGAAAAAATATTCTCTCATCACCGTGACATGTTCAAAATAGAGCCTCCGTTATAGGGAGCCTTCTTCCCCTATTAACGTTAACACATTTGAAATTACTTAATTCTCAATGCAATGTTCCCTAGTTTGATAGGGATTAATATAATAAATAAATAAATAAATAATATTAAACAAAGGTTAGTATTTGAAATAGTTAACTTTTAGGGAAGAAAATATACCAAATTAATTAACATTAACAAAATTGAACAGTTTTCACATTAACTTAAAATTCAAAGAACGAAATGTAAAATAAAAACTCCGTGCATGTTACTGCACGCACTGTTGCGGATCTAAGAGTGAATCCACGTGTAGTGTTGGAGATACGCATATCTGCCACCGTCCAATCCCTACGCACACTCTTCTTCCCCCTTTCATATAATTCATTTCATGAGAAAACTGTGAGAAAGAAGAACATTTGTTGAAATGCAATCCTCTTCTTATTGCCTGAATCCACTCAAATTCAAGCTCATGGCTATGTCTTTCACTCCTCATCCAATTCCACAACACCACAATCTCGATTTTCTACAATTCAAATATCCCACTCTCTCTTCTTCCCATTCGAATCTCATTTCTCTCTTCAGTGCCTCTTCTCATTGCCACCTCTTGGCGTTCCCTCGTCGACCTAGTTTCCGTGTTAAAGCTCTTGATTCCGACGCCCCTAACCAGGTACCTCTTCCACTGTTTCCTCAATTCAGTGCCTCGCTATTAGTATTTGGGATTAATTTTTGGCATTGTTAGAAGGATTCAGTTAAAGTTGTGAAAAATGAAAGCTACCAGCAATGGGATTCGGTTACGGCAAAATTATCCGCAGCAGCTAATATTCCATTCCTGTTACTGCAAATGCCGCAAATTATTCTTAATGCAAGAAATCTTATGTCTGGAAACAAAATGGCTCTCTCTGCTGTTCCCTGGCTGGTAATTTATTGCTGAAAGTTCAATACTGCAATTTCAGTTATTACTTTTTTATTTTGTTTATGCCAATTTTCTTTACAATTGAATGTAATTCATTGTTTCAAAAGCGGAAATGTAACTGAATAAGGTGTTTATGAGGTGGATGTGAAATTGTCAATGCAGGGAATGCTAACTAGTTTGCTTGGAAATCTTTCTCTGCTTTCGTACTTTGCCAAAAAGAAGGAAAAGGAAGCAATGGTGGTGCAGACGTTGGGTGCAGTGACCACCTATGTGGTCCTTGTTCAGCAGGCATTGGCAGAAACCATGCCTTTGCCTTACTTTTTGGCTACTTCCATTGTTGTGGTGTCTGGCCTCCTTCTTAATTTCTTGAATTACTTTGGTTTACTAAATGTTGCAGTCTGGCGCATTTGGGAAGATTTCATTACAATTGGGGGTTTATCAGTGCTTCCCCAAGTAAGAGTCTTTTCCTTCTCTCACAGTAGGATCAATAGAATTAACATTTTATTAGTTTATATTCATATTGTGATGTTGCTTGTCAAGCATGCCAATTCACTAAAACTTGCTCAAGTTTGTAAGTTTCACGGACATGTTCACACACAGATTAATACACTTTTTCGTTTTTTTGAAAGTTCTACCACTTATCTCACATTGGCTAATTTACAATCTGCATACAGATAATGTGGTCTACATTTGTACCGTATGTACCTAACAGCATCTTACCTGGGGCTTCTGCCTTTGTGATAGCTGTCTCGGCTGTTTCCATGGTAATCTTCTTATTTCCTTTGGGTTATATTTGATTGTGTGTTGAAACAAAATTCTGGTTGCATGGTTATGCCTAAAATGGTCATGTACACTTACCCAGTACATATGGGTACTGTAAGCCACTGGGACTTGTAAATAATATTGCTGTTTGTCATTAGCCATATCATACCAATGCAGCGATGCTGGTACTCATATCATTTTATCAGTGCAACATAGAACCCCATATGTTTCTTGAATTTTGATATAAGCATTTATTTCACAAATAGTGGAAAAGAGTGCAATGACAAAATGAGATTGTCCTGCATTTAAATGTATGATATTTATTAACTGAAACCAATAAATTTGAAATTGAGGTCTTGTTTCTAGATTGAGACTGATAGAATTGTAAATAGGCTTTAAGCTTCATGGTCATAATGTCATCTTAAACACTTTGGTCTAAGATTTGCAGGCAAGAACTGGAAAACTTTCCGAGAAAGGTATCAAATTTGTTGGAGGAATATCTGGATGGACAGCTACATTACTCTTCATGTGGATGCCAGTTTCTCAAATGGTAAACTCTGCACATGAGAATCTTAATTTCTTTAATAGCAGTGTAATTCAACTTTTATATCCTATGCATTTTTATTAACCGATTTAGTCTTTTCTAGTGGACAAATTTTCTCAATCCTGAAAACATGAAAGGCTTGTCAGCTTTTTCCATGTTGCTTGCCATGCTTGGAAATGGATTTATGCTTCCACGTGCTCTCTTGATTCGCGATTTCATGTGGTAATTTTCTTTCTCCTATTGACTTGTATGCTCTATTAATCACAGGAGCAATGCCTAATTTTCTTCAAGACATGGTATTTGAAGGCATGGTTACAATCTAGTCTCTCACTCTAGCAAACCCATCACATTATTTATACTGGTTGTTGCCATTTTTGTTACTTGAATGACATGAAGTTGTGTTGTTTGTTCACCTCCCATTACATCTTGAATTGCTATAAATATTGTTAAACTATTGTTAACTATTCTGCAAAATAGTTGACAATAATTTTAATGATATAAGATATTTTCCAGACCCTGTAACAGTACTAACGAGCAAAAACTGCAACTAGTTATATGATAATTCTTGTAGAATCATTCATAACAGCTGTAACCATAGTTGATAACATGTCACGTAGACAGTGAGTGATGATGAAACTATTTTAAAAAATTTATAATTTCTGAAGCCTGAAAATAACAAAAAAATATTGGAGGACTAAAATCAAATTTATTCATATTTATAAGAAGTAAAAGTATATTATACTCTTATTTTTATATGCTTTGCCTCTAGTTATAATCACTTTAGTGAAAAATTATTGATTGCAAGTCTCTCGAACGCCCAACTTTACCATTTCTTATACTTTTCCATTCATGTTGTAATCTACTGAAGTAGCTTCTGCATGTGTTAATTCTATCCATTCAATTAACTCTTGATTGTAGGTTCATTGGTTCAGCATGGGCTACCCTTTTTTATGGATATGGGAATATTGCATGCCTATACTTGTAAGTTTTAAGTCCAGTTTTCATATATGCTTTTCATTCTGGTGCTCTGTTGAGCAAAATGTAGAATCAGCTGTTGACTAATATTGCGCTTTTTCCAGTTTGAACATTATCAGCAAGGAATTCTTCTTGGCAGCAACTGTTGGTTTGGTTTTGTGGATAGGTTTCTTTCTTGACCCTAGTGATAACTAACATAAACAGAGTGACATATATATTTGCTGTCGTACCCATGTTTCGTTGTGTCATTTGCGACTCGTGTCCTCACAGATTGATATACAGTATCTTGTTTTCTGCAATTTTTACGTGATGACGCGTTACTCATTTTTGTGCCATGTTTTGTGTGCAACATGATGTCATATATATTTATCCTCAAAATCAACAATAACGGCGCATAACTAAATTAAGTAACAATAGCTTATGTGATACTTCATAAAAAATTGCAGAACCTTCTTTTGCCCCAATGCAACGAACATATGATTTTATTATTCTCCTTGTGACAGGAATGGCTTTCTGGAGAGACAGTGCAGTACATGGTTACAGCTCACCTTTGGCTTCTATGCGTGACTTGGTTTTTGGATCGTCAAGTTAAAGTCTGTGATGCTACATTGGTACTCGGTTACCCGGTCCATTCTGCCAGAACTGGTTACGCTAGATTGTCACTGTAAAGTAACTACCACCATAGAAGCTACTGAGTTTTAGTCGTCTATATAGTACGGTGGAATCAGAAATTCATAGTTAATACCACTCTTACACATGATGGGAATGAAAATGAGTTATGTTGTAACTAATACGCTTTTTAAGGGATCTCTCATACAAGCTGTGCTATAGCACCACATTGGACTTCGAGGATATAATTGAAATGTTAAAGTTGAAACTTATCCCTCTTATTTGTTCACCTACCTTTTTTCTTTCCTTTCCAGATATTTTTAGATGCCATTACGGATGAAAATACGTTGGGTTTGGCTAAATTTTATAAGCCTTGATTATTAAGCAACTAAAAAGGATTACAAGATAATAGTGTCATAATTATGATATAATTGTACGGGATTTGATAACTGTATAAATATTAAAATTACTTTAATGTTTTAATTATCTTAATTTTTGGTATATAACGTAAAGTGAAATGTAATTGCTTGACGTATAAGTATATGGATAAAAAAAGGATGTTTATCTTATTGCTTTAATTACTTTAATTTGATACATAAAGTAATAATGTGTTTTTATAATAGATGAAAGTTTAAAAACATGCATTTAATTTTCATATGTAGAAAGATTTTTATTTTGTTAATTGATTAAAAATTATTTTAGATATAACTTCTTTTTTTCTATTAATTGAGGTTAAAAGTTTAACAACAATTAGAACCTTAAACGTTCAATTTAGGAGACCAAATCTCCAAAGCATCCAGTTTCAAAAAAAGATTATAAAGAAGAATGGAACCTATCATCAAAATAAGTAAAAGATAAATAATTATTTAATTCAATTTTAGTTAACCTATCAGCACTTTAATTGACTTCCTAAAAAATATGGCTAATTCTAACGAACTTAATACACTTAAGTAAATTCTTAATATCACTTGTCAAAGAAAATAAAAGATGATTACAATTCTAAATAGTAAATAATAAAGAAATAATTTTTTTAGAGTCGCTCTTAATCCAAATTAGCTCAATGACTTTTTGGATAACAAACTTACTCCTCTCCCTGATTACAATCCTAAATAGTAAATAACAAAGAAACAACTTCCTTAGAGTTGCTCTTAATTCAAATTAATGGCTTTTTGGATAACAAGCTTACCCTTCTCCCTCCCTCCCCCCCCCTTCTCCCTAATATATGCTCTAGAGTTCAATTGTTAAGGGAGAATAAGGGTCCAATCTACCGGGAATCCAACGATGAAGTTGTCTTGATAATCTCAAATTAGACTTTCACAACTAGCAACAACTCTAAGATTACGAGAAGCTGAACCATCCATATTCAACTTTAGTTGCCTAGCAAGAGGAGGATGCCATTTGATTGACTTTAGTCATTCACAAGGTTAGACACAACCTTGGATTTTCCCTTCAAAGTACTCAAAATCATAAAGAATTTTATGTATTAAAGTACTAGGTTGGACTAAGGAATCTGAAAAATCTCAAAATTCCTATCTTTCCATAAGTGTTAAATAACAACCCCAAAAAATCTATTCCAACAAGAGAAATTATTAAAGCCATGATTATATAAATTATGAAACATCCAACTAGCCCATTAAAATATAATGAAAATAAAAGAAATAACAATAACTAGAATTTATTAGGCTAAATTCGTATGCCCATATGGCAGCCCACTTAAACTTATGACAAACTTTATTTAGTAGCATACAATGCTTTTAAAACAATAAAAATAAAATAAAAAATACTAGCAGCCTTTCTTGCATCAAGGGTCTTCAATTGGAACAATGCAATGAACCAATTTAGGCTCTAAGTCCTCCAATTTAGGGGCAACTTTAAGAATTGTTGCTACCACTTGGTTTAGAGTCTCCTTAGCCTTCTTAGTTCTTGCTCTAGTCATAGGTCTCCCAAGTCCTTCAAGTGCGTTGTTCCTCTTATCCTTAACCATGTCCTCATCAATTATTAAAGCCATGATTATATAAATTATGAAACATCCAACTAGTATGCACTATACTGAAAAAAGATGCCCAATCATTACGAAGAATAAACAGCTTTCAAACTTGCCTAGCATACCAACAATCACGAAGAACAACAATGAATGTTTCAGGTGCATCCCCACACCTAGAACAAGTAAGAGAACTAGTTATACCTCTCTCCTACATCTCTCATCATTGGTTAATAAGCTATCACGAGTCACTTTCCAAAACAACAGTAATTTTAGGGGACCTCCCTATTTCTAAACTAATTTAAAAACATCATTACAAGCAACAATATTATGATTAGATGCAGAAATTAATTTATGGGCATATTTATTAGAAAATACCTCGTTATTAGAGTAATTTTAAAAAAATAAACCATCACCTCTTGAAGAAACAAGAGGTCTAATGTGAGCAATAAAATCATAAATAGGGGCAAGAAGCAGAGATTTGATTCGAGACCAATCCTAATTATCCTCGAAATAGAATAAGGCCACAAGATTATTGAAATCATCCTTAGGAACAAGTTTCAAAGCAAAACTAAATAAATTATGAAGATGAGAAATCCAATTATCACCCCAAAATTTAATGAACAAACCATCTCCTATGATCTAACCTAACCCTTTAGAGAAGAAATTCTAAACAAAAATCATACGATTCCAAATATAAGAAGTTTTCTAAATATTACCTAAATTAGGGTTCTTTCCAAAGATGAACTTATATTTTTTACTAATAACTTAGACCTACAAGTCATTACAAAGAACAAAAGCTTCCAAAATAATTTCATTAAATAGGCATGGTTAAGTAAGTGGATGTCTCTAAAACTAAGGCCACCCCCACTCTTAGGTTTACAATTTTTCTCCTAACCAATTAGATAACATTTTCTACTGCCTAACGATCTCTATATAAACCTCTTACAAATATTATTAATTTCTTTACACACATTAGGGACAATCATAAATTTTATAATATAAGATGTTGATACTCATAAGAGAGGACTAGCCTAATGTGACCCTACCAGCTAAAGATAAAGTGTTCATTTTTCAAAGAGAGCTTTTTCTAATCTAATCAATTATGAAAACAAAGTATTGCCTAGAAGATATATGATGGCTAGGGGGGCATCAATGTGTTTTTCAAACTAAGTAGTGTGCTTAAGGCCCAAACTACTACTAATATCTTGAACTAATACAGAATATGTATTTTTTGAGAAAAATAAGAAATATTTTTTAGTATTAATTTTAAGATCAAAGGCAAAACAAACTTAGTTAAAATAGAAGCAATAACATAAGCATTATGCAAATTAGCCTTTGCTACTAAAATAATATTATCAGTTATAAAAAATTGAGAAATCTTGAGTCCTAATTTATTGAAAGAAAATGTGAGTCATTCCTCAATTGTAATTTTATCCTAAACTAAGTGAGCTTGTCTTTCTATGCATAAAATAAAAATATAGGAAGAAATGAGGTCACACTACCTAATACTCCTAGAAAGGTTAAAATTACTAGTCTTAACATTATTCCAATTAATATACATGGAAGATGAGAAAATATATTGATACATGAGATTAGCAAGCTTATATTTTAAACCTATTTTCAAAACAATATCACTAATAAAATTCCATCTCACTCTGTCATAAGCTTTTTTTAAATCAAATTTGATAATCATAAATTCACTCCTACCTTTTAATTTATCAAAAGAATGCAAAAGTTCTTTGAGGATAAGAGAATTATCTAAACAAAACTTATAAAAAAAATTGCTCAAATCAATTGAATATAAGATTTTTTTAATATTATAAAAATATTTCCCAACAACGGCGTCAAAAACTTGTTTCTGAGAAATTGTACCCGTTAAAAAGTAATTAAGCGTTTGAAAATAAGTTTATGAGATATCATCCCACAAAGATTGTTTCTAATTACCAAGAATTTCTTAATTCAATTGCTTGAACTTAAAATATGTGAAATTAAATAAAAATAAGAATTCACTTATAAAAGCAATTAAATAGAATTAAAATAGCGCAACCTCAACCTCTAATAATAAATTAATCGAGAAGAACCTGTGACGTATGACTTTATCTTTACACTTTTCCATGTTTACTTTTAGATTATTCAAATTCCACTTTCTTTATGATTTTCAACCATTTATACTAAATTTATTAACATCCAATGATCATGCAATATTAATATTATTTTTCCTAAACTATCACCCTCAATGGTCATGTAAGGCAAAAGAAATAGAAAACCTAAAGACCTATGAAATAATTTAATAACGATTGAAAGAAAAGAACTAAGTTTGATCTACCTAATTATTTGTCTTGTTTTAAGTTATAAATCCATTAACTATATATAGTACAATGACCTATATTATAACTAATTATATTATTTTAAGAGTTGTCAATTCTAAACAATTAAATATAGTGTAATATGGTAAACATCAATCAAAAAAGGAAACATGAAATTATCATTAATCACAAAGATCTCATAAAGTCATGTAAAGAATTTACCCTAACCCTGATTATGGATTTAGTTAGACATAGTATAAAAGAAAACCAAAACAATAATTAATTAATCCATAATTTTGAAAAGTAAATGCAAACTAGAGGAATTCTTAATAAAGAAAAGATGAAAAGAGCTATTGATCCCAAGGTGCGTTTCTAAAACTCCAATAATTAACAAACATTCCCTAAGTTTATAAATAAGGAAGCACTTGAAGTAATTTATATAGTTTACATACAATCAATTTCTTACTCCTCTTTCCTCACAATCATTTGTAACTCTATTTTTTTCTATTTTTACTCCTTTTTTTTTTATTTGCACATATGAGAAGAAGTAGAAGAGAATTTTTACAATACACATCTTGCTACTTCTTAAGTAATTCAACCTAATTGCTTAATTCATAAACTCAAGGTTTATCGAAATATGTTATATAATATAATTCAAGGAACCAAGAGAAAATTAATTATATAATCAAACTCAAGGAGGCAACTAGGTGTTTCTCAAACATCCTGAAGGCTAAGATTAAAAATTCTATTATGTCTCAATCATAGTACAACATGTAATCAAATAGAGTAGTCTCAAGTTAGTTACAAGTCAAATTTTAAAGCACAAATCTTAAGAGGATAATCACACAAAATAATGAGAAAAAAAATATCATAAATCAATTTAGGATTAAAATATCTATAAAGTCTCAAAACTCACATTTGTAGGTTAAATTTTAATATAGAATAAAAAAGTAAGAAACTTAGCTAATTATCAGGATCGTAATAA